TCCTATGGGGAGAACATGTGATTTGTTGATTAAAATCCTAGAATCATGTGCTCAATGTATTCTTCATTACAAACTGTTGCACTTCTCTGCTAGAGCTACACTTTTGACATTCAAAATTGACAACTAATCTTATTTTGTTCCCAGATTCTGGACTACTAAAAGTGCAAGTAAGTAATGCAAATAGCTCTGGTGGCTTGGGCAACTCGAGATCGTGGTTCACCTATCAAGAACTGGCTGAAGCAACTAGTGGGTTTTCGCCCCACAATTTATTGGGTGAGGGTGGTTTTGGTTCCGTGTACAAAGGAAATCTTGTCGATGGCCGAGAAGTTGCTGTTAAGCAGTTAAAGATTGGAGGAGGACAAGGGGAGAGAGAATTTAGATCTGAGGTGGAGATTATAAGTCGTGTACACCACCGCCATTTGGTGTCGCTCGTGGGTTATTGCATTTCCGAGGACAAGAGGCTGCTCGTGTATGAATATGTTCCTAATAATACCCTCTACTTCCATCTTCATGGTACATATTCAGTGCTTAATTTGGACAAGATGTGTTTTTTGGCTTTTGAAAGAGACTTTTGTTTTAGGTTATGCATTATGTTTTTCTAGGTCATCAGGGTAAGCCAGTTATGGATTGGGCTACGCGTGTGAAGATAGCTGTTGGTGCAGCTCGTGGTATCGCTTATCTTCACGAGGACTGTAAGTTATTTTGATTTTACTTGTTTGGTGAAATTATTGAAATTTATATCTGTTCTGTCGGCTTCTATTTCCTCTTTACTTGTGGATCATGAGCAGTTCGAAGAAACTCCTTTTAGAAAGTGATGTATGATTTTCTATATGGTGGGTCATACTGTACAAATTGTTTCTTACACAAAGTATAGTAATTCATTTCCAGTTGCCTCGGCTATGAGAAGGATGGCAAAGTGCTAATGTTGCTATAGGATACTTAAGCTTATTAAATATTAGTTATTACTGGTTGTTTGAGAAATTATATGAAAACTAGTAAACAGTAGTACTGTTTCGATTTTTACACTTTTATCTTCAATTAGTTCCAGATTTTAATTTTCTTAGTGTCTTACCATTTTATATCGTTCATGTTATTAACAAAAAGGCACATTAATCTGCTGAGCTGGTTAATCTTTCAGGCCACCCTCGTATAATACATAGAGATATCAAATCATCAAATATACTTCTAGACAGCAACTTTGAAGCACGGGTATGCTCATATTCAGACAATATTTTTTTTTTCTTTTTCCGTTCGCCTTTTCATTTCTGTTTCTCATGAAGTTAATTTCCACAGGTTTCTGATTTTGGACTTGCTAAGTTAGCCATGGATGCGAATACACATATCACCACCCGCGTTATGGGAACCTTTGGGTAAGTGTTCATCACATAAATGGATGTTTGGTTGAATAAAAGCTAAATATCCAAAATCCTTAAAGAGCTTCTTTCATTATACATAATATCATTGTTGTTTTCATTATACTAGTGAGTAGCCCGTGCGATGCACGGGACAGAGATATTAAATAATTAATTTTCATAGAGTCCATAGACCTTGTCCATTGAACCCTAAAAAATAATAGAGTTGAATCATCTATTTTCCACGGGACAGAGATATTAAATAATTAATTTTCATAGAGTCCATAGAGATTGTCCATTGAACCCTAAAAAATAATAGAGTTGAATCATCTATTTTCCACTTATTTTCATTAGCGTCACTTTTTTGTCGGAACGTAAAACTGAGTCTGTTAGCGCTAGCCATAAACCAATAAATAAATTTGTTTTTTGTATATATATTTATTCCTTGATATAAGAAAAATAACAATTTTACTTATTCTTGTTCCTCGTATAAAATTGTGCAACATTATATAAACATGTTGATTTAAAGTTAGTACAAACCCCTACGGTGCATGTAGTTAATAATAAATTACATTATATTTATTTCAAAATAAGTGTCATTTTAAAATGTGTATTCATAAATTTGATTTGACTACAATGTTATTCAATAAAATAATTATTTTGGTAAAATTTTATCTTATATTTAAAAATTGAAGTGATAATAAGTACAATTATAAAACTTAAGTTGTTCCACTTATTAAAATAAATTTATTTTTGTATAAACAATCCAAATCAAAAAATATAAGTAGTTGAGTAATTTATTAAACTATAAATAATTGACTATGTCATTTACATCCAAGTTAATTTTGACCTGTAAGTTATAAATAATTACTTATTTGACTTTTAAATTTAGAATCTAAATTTGGACTACACAAAAAAGAAAAAATTCTTATAGATTTCACACACACACACACACATATATATCTAGCAATATTTTAGATTTGTTGTCGTTTACCTTATCTTTCAAATTTATAAAATAATTATCTAGAATTAAATTACAAATTTTAAATTTTATTAACCAATACTTGTTCAATGATCTTTTTGATTTTCAAGAGTAATACATACCAATTTGTCGAATTATCATCAATATTGTATCGCAAGTTATTAAGGGAATATGCTAAAATTTGAGAATCATATCACCTTGATTTTATAACAAATCAATCTAAAATTCTACTTTCATACCATACCAAGTAAAATTCATACCACTTATTTTGTTTTTAAAATTTCAAAATACACTTCTATCCTATCAAAAAAAAAATAAAAAATCATACCATTAAAACTCAAACATTTCATACTAAAAAAAATTCGCCCACTTTATATCATAAATTCATACATTTATTAATAACAACACATTTGCTACAAAAAATAAAAATGGTCATCATATACATCAAATAATATCGTCCACTTTATACCAAAATCAGATTTATTAATTTTGTCAATTTTATACCATAAATTGATTAATTAATTTCTAGAGGCGGTATTTTTTAATTTTTTTTAAAAATATCACCAAGTTTAATAATTTTATATTTTTTAAGCGAGATTTTAGTTTTTATTTCAAGTAAATATAAATTATATATATATATTTTTAATAACGTAAACATAAAATTCATATGATCGAAATAATCTTCAACTCTTGTTGCACCTCTCATTCTAAATCTTTAATGTATTTTTTGAAAGTCCAATATCACACAAGCAAAATGAACTGTTTAAAAAAATAAATAAATTTCTTCAATGCTATTATTATTAAATCATATGAAATGGATGTGATGTAACTACAAGTAAAATATACATAATTTTATAGAAATGCAATTCAAATCTCAAAGTAACTACAAAAAAAAAAAAAAAATCTATATATTTTCAATTCAACTTTCTTCATAAAATATTGTGCATGGGAGTGATAATAAAATTTATTTATCTACACTATGCCACGCCATAATTAGCATTGGAGTGTTAATATAATCTTGTATGGTTAATTAGTTTTTTTTTATGTGGACAGTGACCTCTCTTAACAAACGCCACATTTTTAGGCCACCATTTAATGCTGGTTGAGTGGGTAAGTTCATTAAGAATTATCATATTTTTTGTTCCATTTCATGAGGATGGATTTTTTTCCACTTTATTTCTCTTTAGCACTTAAAATGTAGCTAACATAAAACTGGGACATTCATGTTCGTCTAGCAATGAGCATGTGATTCATTGCTGAAGGTCATCTTTTTTTTTTTTTGCCCAAGTGTTAGATTGCGTACTGTCGTCATACAATGTTAGACCATAGATTGTGATATAACTTGATAATTTAGACCATGCAATGCTAGTTTTCCTGATAACATAAGTGCTGTCAAGAAATATTTGAGCATGTGAAAGAAGGAACGTCTTCAGGATTATCAGAGATCAACATTTGTTGGAATGTATACAATCTTAAACAGTTTAGAAGCTTCCAAACAAAGAATGTGATATACTGTTGATGACATTTTTTTTCTTTCTTTGTTCCTTTCCTTCCTTATTTTTGCATTTTCTTTATTGGTATCTAATTTTTTTTTTCTATTTCAGGCCCGGCCTTTATTAAGTCAAGCACTAGACACACAGGAATTCAGGGAAATAGCAGACTCAAAACTTGAGGGGAAATATGTTGACAATGAGATGTTTCGGCTAGTCGAAGCAGCAGCAGCTTGTGTTCGTCATTCGTCAGCAAAGAGACCCAAAATGGGACAAGTAAGAATCTCTATCTGTTTTTCTCATAATTAATCACAAGATTTAATGTTATTCTACCATCATAATTGTAATTATTATAACTGTTGCAAAATTTATGTGTGCATTCTTTGGCTTCTAATGAGGTATGCCAATTTCTTGATTATTCTTTTTCAGGTAGTGAGGGCTTTTGACAGCATGGCTGCCCCGGATTTAACCAACGGAATGAGAGTTGGGGAAAGCGAAATCTTTAACTCCGCTCAACAATCTGCCGAAATTCGACTGTTTCAGAGAATGGCGTTTGGCAGTCAAGATTACAGTACGGATTATTTGAGCCACACTGAAACTAGTGAAGGAAGTGAAGTCAACCAAACCAGCAGCAAAAATAGCCGGAGAGATTTATGATTTTAATGAGACATGATGAAGGTATTCTCCTCCATATGAACATATCTTTATGTAAATGAATTCACAGCTGGGGCTTGAAGACGTTTTTGCATATATTTTTAGACTACGAGTTTTAGTACGTGATTTAGGTTTTCATTAGTTAACGTTTTGTTGCCCAAGTAATCTTTTAGCTTTCTATTTGTAGGGGCGGGTTATTTTTTTCCTGTAAATTCAAGGAAATTTTTGTTACCATCAGTATCTATAATCTAATAAAAAGCTTATTCAGTTTTACACCATTTGATCAAATGATAGTTTGTCATGGTCTGGTGGGATAAATCTTCTGATTGTCAATGCTTATGAAATTCTTATGAAATTTTGTTTTCATGTGGTATATTTGGGAGTTTTGGTTGCTTTCTTATTTTAAGTTCTGGTAGTTTTGATAAAATTCCTCTATTTAGAGGCAAGCAAAAAAGTAAAACAAAAGGAGTGCAGCTGAATTTCTAAATCTGCCGGCCAAGCAGTTTCATGGTGAGGCAAACATGTTTCCATCACTAATTATGTTTACACGTGAAAGAAAAGTTTTTTTGAAAATTATTGAATAATGAATAATTACATAAATCTACCAAAATATCGAACACCCTTTGAAGATATGACAAATTTTTTTGGCAGTCTTCTCAGCAAATCCCCCTTTTTGAAAGGGTTAAAGTTACGAACTCACAATTATTATCCCAAGGGTGCAGTTGTAATTTTCACAGATAAATGAGGAACTTGTTAGTTACACTACCTCAAGGGGATACCCTTTTGTAACTTAATCTTAACTTCATAACCTGGATTTTAGAAATTACACATGGCCAGTTGTCCAAGATTCTGCAGAAAATGTAGAACTAAAGTTACACTTTTTCTTTTTTCTTAGCAAACAATCTTTCACATGCCAGTTTACAACTCAATCACAACCCCCCACAAAATCCCTAACAACATGAAGTCATTGACCATGACTTGTAGCTAATTTATTGCTTTAGCTTCCCAGCATTGCAATCCCCATTGCTTCACACATCATAATACCCTCCCAAGATCACAAGAAAACACTCAAATTCCTTTGTTCCTAAAAAAAAAATATGACTCCCATCATTAATAACTCTCTCTCCCTTCTCTCAAGAAAACTGTCATGGAGGACCCAAACATGTTAGCTGCAGATTGCATTGTGATATCATGTTGCTGCCAGTGCATGATCCTGCAAATCCTCGTATTCCTACTTCTCAAACTCCCGAGCAAGCTATTCAAGAAGACAAGAGAGTATGCAAAAAAGTTGAAGGCCCGGAGTAAAAAGCCCAGGATTGTGAAGCTCGAAACGCAAAAATTCCAAGAGAAGTCATTGAGGATCGAAATTGATGATTTTGACCTAGTCGAGTCGGTTAGTTATGGGGCGAAATTGATGGAAGAAATCGAGCGTGAGCTCGAGGAGTTTTCGAGCCGAGGAGAGTTTGCTTTCGGGAGTTTTTGGGGTCGAGGGGTTTGTAAATCGAGGAAGAGTTTCGGTTCGTGTTTTAAGGAGGAGGAGGTCGACTATGATGATGTTGGGTATCGGTTGATGGAGTTGTTTGGCGATGTTAAAGTTCTTTTATGAAATGATTAATGTTAGATTCTGTACAGGTAGCTAGTATTTAATTTTCTTTCATGTTAATGGGGAAATTGTGGTTAATGAAGGTTGGTTCTGCTAAGTGCATGAATGAAGAAAAGTGGATAATTTATCTTTGCTCGCTGATTTAGGCATAGGAGACGCATTTTTCCTTGTTTAGGTTATCAGATGACGTAGGTGAACTTTAATTTGGATTTTATTATTTGTATTGTCATTTTATGCATCTGTAGCTTAGGTGAATGCTAATTGCTCATAAACAGACCAATACGCTACACAACGTCCATATCTGTCGCTTATTCCTACCTCATTTTCTACTCATTTGAGAACTCGGATCCTCTGCCTCTCAAGCTCCCTTTCCTACAACGCCTGGTTAGGCGCCTCGACCAGCGCCTAGGCGTGGCCTAGAAATTTAAATTAAATATCTTATTTTTTTATTTATTTTTACTACCTATAAAATAAAATTATCCCAACTTATAATAAATTAACACACATAAGTCTAAATAATAATATTAGTATATTATAAAGACATGATAACAAAATAATGTAATTATTATTTAAAAAAATAAAAAAAATATATGAAAATTTCTGCTGAGCCCGCCTAGGAGCACCTAGGTGGCGCCTAGGTCCGCCTAGGCGGCTCTAGCCGCTTGGCTGATTTTTCAACCGATTTATGCTAATCGGAGGCGGCCAAACAGCGCCTAGCGTCTAGGTGCCGCATAGGACGATTTTTAGAATAGAGGTCATTTAACTCTATTTGTATTTTGTTAGTGAATTTAATAAATTTGGCGTTGCTATTGGCGGTGCCCGGAGACGCAGGCAATATTCGCCGAGCTCCGTTATCAATTTTTGTATATTCTTTTTCTTTCTCGTCTTTTATTTATTTGTGTTGGCTTATTTTCGTTAGTATTAGTATTTGTCATATTTTTGTAGGGGTATTTTTGTCCGCTACACTTATTGTTCATCCCAACAAGTGGTATCAGAGCCGAAAGTTCGTCCTAGACTCATTCGGTGTTAGATTGTCTATTTCAGCAAGGCGTCGACATTGCCATTGAAGAAGAGAATCCAACTAACGTTGATGAGAAGGAGTGGAAGAATATCAACTGCTTAGCATGTGGACAATCCGTTCATGTTTATCGAGGGAGAAGAAGTACGCGTTTAAGAATGAGAACTTTCTTACACTATGTGAAAGGTTTTGGAGGATAAATTTTTTAAGAAAAGTGGCCAGAATAAACTCGCATGAAAAAACGATTGTTCTGATTTGAGTACCAACATGGCACATCGATGAATGATCACGTCACTGCATTCAATCAATTGGTTGCAGATTTGTTGAACTTGGACGTCACATTAAGCGACGAAGATTTGGCTCTAATGTTGTTATCATCACTTCTAGATGACTTCGAGCACTTAGAAACTACCCTGCTCCATGGGATGGACGAGGTGACTCTTGCACTGGTCAGTTCTGCTTTGTATATCTATGAGTTGAGAAAGAAGAACAAACAAGAGACAAAGAATGCATCAACAGAAAATGAAGAAAGACCACTTGCAACAAAAGATGAAGCGTTGGTTTCAAGAGGTCGGTCGAAGAGCCAAAAGAAGAATTGGTTTCAAGAGGTTGGTCGAAGAGCCAAAAGAAGAATAGATGAGGAAGATCACATTCCAAGGCCAAACTTGAAAAAGACGAGTGTGCTTTCTGCCATGAAAATGACACTGAAAGAAAGACTGTTCTAAGTTGAAGAAGAATGTCAAATCTGCATAGAGGGTTGAAGTGAAGACTCAGAATTTTCACTTGTGGTTTCATCTTCATCATCTCATCCAGATGAATGAATTTTGGTTTCAGAATGCACCTACCATATGTCTCTCATAAAGAAGTAGTTCTTCAACAATCGGGGTAGGTTGAACTCGTCTAAAGAATCACAATGGGTCCACCAGAGTTTTGACGGATGTTCGGTACGTGCCAAGTTTGAAGACGAGCCATCGATCGTTGCTCCCTTCAGGTAAACCACTGTCATTTAACCACTCCCTCCTCAACGTATCAACTCTATGGACCACTCCTTCATCTCCCTCCTCAATGCATCAACTTTGTGTACCACTCCTCTTATCACCAAATCAAAGGTATCCTGGGTTTTCTCCAGCCTCGACCTGTGGTCTGTATAGATCACGTTTGGTATCAGCTTTATCACCTTCTCCCTCCTGACCGCCACCCTCGAGGCCGGTATGCGGGACAACACGCTACCGATGCTAACCTTGAGATAGAGTCAAAAAATATTAATTAATCACAGATGAATGAAGAAGAAGAGTTATTAGTGTTAATTAAAGCAACAGAAGCTACCTTGTGGGTCTTGACGTCCCCCTCCGGTATGAGCACAGAGTAGGCCCCAAAATCCATGGGCAGGTGCCACAAGTACTGCATGTATGCGGAGGCAGGAGAGAAGAAGACGGGGATGCAACCTGCGAGTATAGAGTCAAAGGTGGACCTCCTGATGAAAGAGCCCCCTGATGGCTGCAG